AGAGCCCGCGCCCGGCACCTCCCGCCCGCCGCGCCGGTGGGGGCCGCCGGGGTCACGGCTCAGGCTGGGGACCTCGGCGTCGCGATCAGAGTCGCCGCACGAGGACACTGTCCTTCTGGACATGAACGCCCGTGCCGGGCCTGGATCCTCAAGAATCCCTGCGACCCCGGAGAGACCCCAAACGGAGCCACGCGCCGGATGGGTTTGCGTCTCCGAACCGTTCCCAGGCTGCGTAGGGGAAGCTGAGTCTCTGCGTGAAACCCCTCCAAGAGGGAAAACCCACATCGCGCCCCGCGGCCCCTCGGCGTCCTTCCCTGCTTGTGGAGTTCAGTCTTGCTGTTCACGCAGCTTCACCCCATCCCTCTCCCCACACTTGCCAGGGTCTGTTTTAAATTCTATTTTCTTTTTCCCACCTGTCATTAGCCCGGGAGAACTTCTTGGATCTCTGCAAATCGTGGGGTTGCGCTCCTTCCTCCAGGAAGCCCTCCCTGACCAACCTCTCCCTACCTGACAGGGCGTTCCATTGTGAAGACGAGGAACCATCTCTTCCAAGCTATCCCTGCACAGTAACTATGTAGGGGATGAAGGAATGACCCACAACCAGGGAAATGGTGTCACATCTATCATCAAACACAGGGGGGCCACCAACTCTGTTGGGGGCGGGAGGGAGGAAGGACCAACCTCTTGCACCTCTCAGTTCACTTTACAGATGGCAGGGAGGCTCACCAGGGTCTGCGTGGGTCACATGCAGGGTGGGGACCTGGCATGAGGGGCACATGTGACTCAGGTCCGTCTTCTATGGCTGCGTATTGTTGATTGTTGCCACTGCCGTTGGCAAGGCCCCATCACTGGGTGGATGACTCTGCTAGAGCCTGATACCCTTGGCGGCCAACAAGCCAGCTTGCACTTCACACTCACGCTGCTAGTGCGCCCACCCCCATAGCACCACCTCCCCCCCGCCAGAAAAACAATGGGGCCCATAAATAGCCGTGGCCCTAGTTTCACACACATTTATTCTTTCACTCTTCACAATAGCTTTTTGGCAATCTATTTTACAGATGAGGAAACTGAGGTTCAGAGAAGTTAGGGACTCCCCAAGGTCATACAGCTAATACTTGGTACAGTTGGGACTTGAACCCTGGCAGGCTGGCCCGGTTGCCCTAGGGCACAAGGTGGAGGTATGGGAGTGTTAGATAGAGACCTGGGTCAGCAAGGCCACAGGGTCTCCAGTGCAGAGCAGAAAGTCCTAACTTCCGCTGAAGCCAGTGAACCCCTCTGCCCCAACTTCCCCAGGACACATGGAGGTGACTGCAGTGCCCATCTCCCAGGATGGCTGGCAGGGCACTCTGACAGGGTGGAGTCAGGCATAGGACATTGGGGGTACTCAGGAAGTAGGGGTGGGAGCTCCTGAGTTTGTAGTACCAGAGATTAAACTGGAAAGATAGATCAGTGTGTGCCAGGCGTGGTGGCACATGCCTGTAATCCCAGCACTCAGAAGGCTGAGGCAGGAGGATCCTTGCGAGTTTGAGACCAGCCTGGGCTACAGAGTGAGCTCAAGGCCAGCCTGAACTGCACAGCGAGACCGTATCTCAAAAAGACAAGCTGGGCATGGTGGTCCACACCTGTCATCCCAGCACTTGGGAGGCTGAGGCAGGAGGATCATTGTGAGTTTGAGACCAGCCTCGGCTACAAAGTGAGTTCAAGGCCAGCCTGAACTGCACAGCGAGACCCTGTCTCAAAAAGACAAATAATAATAATAGGTCAGTGTGGGTCCCTGAGGACGTCATCATCCTGGGGAGCCTCCTTGATGTGGGATAAGTCCATCATGGTACCACTGGTCCTAGGGATTGGGCTCTAGGTTCCTGCTGCCCCACAGGGCAAAAGCTGTAAGATCATCCTAAAGCTACCCCCAAGGGCAGGCTAGGAAAACTGCCCATGGAGGGCCCTCATGCTTGGGGTGACATAGGTGGTCAAGGGAACCCAGGAGGACCCGGGAGGGCTCTGTGCCCTGCGTGGCCTGAGGTCCTGTCTGCCCAGGATAATTCTGTGACTGTATAGGATTCCTTCAGCCTTGACCATGCTAAATGCAGTGAGTTGATCTACTGTGGCTGGGCACCCCCACCCCAGACCCAGTGGAGACCCCAAAGGAAGGGAGAGGTTTCCTGAGGCTGGAGAAACAGTGGGAAGAATCAGTCTACAGCCTGGGATAGGAGCGGAGCCCCAGGGACCCCCAGCCTGGGCACAGCACCATCTGCAGCAAGCTTTTCTCTGTGCTCCTTCCATGCACTCCCTCCTGTCATCTTCCACTGTGCCCCTTCTGCTTACCTAAGGGTCTCCAAGCTAGGGCATACAGGATGGTCCTTTTTAGGTTTAAAAACAAAACAAAACTAGCTGTGGGCAAGGTGGTGCACACCTGTAATCCTAGCACTCTAGCTAAATTAGCAAGATCCTGTCTCAAAATTAAAAAAAAAAAGTGTTAGCCGGGCGTGGTGGCACACGCCAGTAATCCCTGAGGCTGAGGCTGAGGCAGGAGGATTGTTGCAAGTTCAAGACCAGCCTAGGCTACAAAGTGAGCTCAAAGCCAACCCTGAAATGAATAGCGAGACCCTGTCTCAAAAAGACCAAAAAAAAAAAAAAATTGTTGTGGCTGGGCATGGTGTCTCATGCCTATAATCCAGCACTTGGGAAGCTGAAGCAGGAAGATCACTGTGAGTTTGAGACCAGCCTGGGTGATAGTTAGTTCGAAGCCAGCCTGAACTACATAGCAAGGCCCTGTCTCAAACAAGCAACAAAACAAACAAACAAACAGTATTGTGGATGTAGTTCAGTGAGAAGGCCTGGGTTCAATTCTGGTACCAAAAAAAAAAAAAGAAAGAAAGAAAGAAAGAGAGGTAGGAAAGAAAGAAAGAGAGGTAGGAAAGAAAGA